AATTATTTTAAAATTTAAGTTTTCTTTAAAATTACAATTTAAGTATCTCTTAAAGGTACACAAGAAGACATAGACCACCTGCCTCACTCTGGAACTAAAATAGACAACTCATTAGCCACATTATGGCTGCCAAATGGCATGAATTCTTTAGATGCTGAACCTGGTTAAAATAGCAACAGCAAATTTCATGAACAGAGTGAAGGGGAGGAAGAGAAGAGAGAAGAAAAAGTCTAATATTAAAAAAGTCCAATTCTTTCTAGTTGTTTTAAATCTAAGGGAAAATTAAAACTCTTATTAAGCTATAACTGCAAAAATTAAAAAGGAAATCCATTTGTTCAAAAAAAAGAAACCTTAGGCAACTGGGGCTGAGGCTGCTGGCATTTATTATTTACTATTGTAACCACATCAACTCTGCCATACACATTTGACTAAATACACTTGGTTGTGTCTAAAAATGTTCAAGGAATGTACAGGAGAAAGAAGGTAGAAAATCAAATACAATGAGTAGAATATTTTACAAAACTGAAAATGACACCAATTAGGTTAAAATAAAGAATATCCAATTAACATACCTAATTTCACTTTTGTGCTGTATTTAAAGGATTTTTTCAACCTTCAAATTTAACTTATTTTTGAAAAGTACCTTTACTGAAATATAATTCACATACCATTTAATTAATTCAGTGGTTTCTAGTTGAGTTGTACAATCATCACTTCAATCAATTTTAGAACATTTTCATCACCAAAAAAGAAGCCTCATAACTATTAGCAGTAAGTCCTCATTTCTTCCAAATCCCCAGCCCTGGGAAACCACTAATCGAATTTCTGTCTCTTTGCCTATTCTAGACATTTTATATAAGCGGAATCACTTTGCTCTATTATCACTTTGAAGCCAGATAAATTCTAGTTTCACTTTACTTGACACTCTTTGATGGCTTCACACTGACTACAGAAACATCTTTTACATGGAATACGAGTCCTTCCACAATCTGTTTTCTTCTCTCCTAGTATCTGGTTTCGCTCTCACTAACCACACTCCGGCTGAAGCAAACGGCGTCCCGGACAAGCCAGGTTGTTTCTTCTCTCAGTGCTTCTCTCATCCTGCTCTACTCGGTGGTCTCTACTTGTTGGTTAAGACTCTGTGAAAACTTTTCTTGCACCCTCCTCCAGGAGAGGGGACCAATGCCTCCTTCAAGGGCAGTTTTCTACCCTCAGTTGTGGGACTTTGTATAGGACCTGGTCCACGGCTACTCCTAAAACTGCATTTCCCACCACTCTGCCCGTTGTTTACTCCAGGCAGACTGGCCTCCTTACAGGTCTTCACAACCTCCATTCTCATTTTCCAGGAGTAAAAGTATTTTCCCCAGGTATTTCCACGGTGTGTTCTCAGCTTTATTCACCTCTGCTCCAACGTCACCTCCTAAGAGAGATTGTCTTTGAGCACTCTAACCAGAGAAGTTTCAATCCCCTTTTCATTTTCTAAACAGAATTACCTCCTTCTGAGGCCCCTCTACCTTACTTTTTCTCTTTGTAGTACTGATGTAACATTATGTAATTAGGAATGTATCTGTCTTCCCTTCCAGAATGTAAGGTCCGTGAGGATGGGTCTGTTTTGTTCACGGCTGTGAATATTTGTGAATGAATGAATGAATGAATGACATCTGTGACACTTAATTATATGTGTTGGTTTAAGACTTCTGTCTTCCCCATACTGGACAGCAGGGGTTGTATCCTATTCCTCCTAGTTTACTCAGTGCTCCTTCCTGGCACAAAATAACTTCTTAATATTCCTTGTATGACTGAATGATGTCAAGTATAAATTACCTGTAACAATGGTTCCCAACAAAGGGACTCTGAAACCATGTAAATATGGAATATGGAAGAGTACATAAGCTGAAGAATACAAGTAAACCTTTCCATGAGTCCTTTATCTGAAACTCTTGAGACCACTTCTGTTTTAAGATTCAGACTTGTTCCCCTTTTTTTTTTTTTAGAAGATGTTGGGAGTAGGAGTTTATTAATTAATTAATTTATTTTGGCTGTGTTGGGTCTTGGTTTCTGTGCAAGGGCTTTCTCTAGTTGCGGCAAGCGCGGGCCTCTCACTATCGCGGCCTCTCTTATTGCGGGGCACAGGCTCCAGACGCGCAGGCTCAGTAGCTGTGGCTCACGGGCCCAGTTGCTCTGCGGCATGTGGGATCCTCCCAGACCAGGGCTCGAACCCGTGTCCCCTGCATTAGCAGGCAGATTCTCAACCACTGTGCCACCAGGGAAGCCCTTGCTCCCTACTTAATTAACACCTCTGGTAGGGTCTCGGGCAGACTCTGTAACCAAACACATTAATAGCTTTGCAACAAAACATGTGAAGAGCCCTCCAAATAATGATAAATAATGCTCAAATCAACTTTTTCTGTCTTGAATTTTTCTGTCAAGAGAAATGTTAATAGTTTGGGATTTTGGAAGTGTGGATATGGGGCTGTAGACGTGTACTAGCATATGCAGATCTGTGTGATGTTTTATGCTAAAATGGATCCCCCACATTCCAGTTTAGAAATCACTGATTTAATGCATTAATTTACAAACATCTATTTTTCTTCCAGCATAGCTAGCATTAATGAAGCTTTTACTATGTGTTAGCCCTTGTGCTAAGCTTTTTAAATACATAGGTAAGAACTACTATTTGCCCCATTTTGTGAGTGAGAAAATTAGGGTTTAGAGAGAGGGTTAGCAGCTTGTCCACAAAGCTTGTCAATAGCTGAGCTGCATCAAAACTGCAGCTGTCTCAGAACCAAAAGTCATGTTCTGGACCACCTGGTCACCCTGACTTCATGGAGTTCAAGATAAAAATTCTTTAGTCTTGCCAAGTTTCTTCAATGATAAAGGAAAGTTTCTATAATTCAAGTGAAAGTAAAAAAATTCCTCAGGCTACAACTCCCTGATTAAAAAAAAAAAATGCTGGCTATAAGTAACCAACATTTAACTGATATTTGTATAACGGAGTAATTTATCTCCTCAGCTAAACCAATGTTTTAAACATTTGTAATGAGAGATCAAGTAATTCCAGATAAGTAAAAAATTATGTAGTCACACTAACTTACCCTGATTTTATTTTTTGCAGAACCATGATCCAAGGGGTGCTATTCCCTAACAGATGAGAGTAGGAATGGCAGAAGAGAACAATCTAAAAAAGGTACTACCACAGAGGATATGTGGATTTTCACACTTACCTTTTTCAAGAGCATCTTAATTGCCTTGAATTTTTTTAAGCCAGGCATAAGTTGATCAAATATAATTGTGATGACCAAATTTTGGAACTCTTTCAGAATAACAAAATACAGTAGTGATCTTTTGCGAATAAGGAGTTAGCTGTATAAGAACAATAAAGCTACATTAAAAAAAAAAACAAACCCTGCATAGGGATACAGCTTCAACTGACGACACAGTGTTTTGGACCTTACCATGCTTATGTGAAAGCTTCAAGTTATGAAATGTAGAGTAGCAAAAGTACAACACATATTCATTTTATGATACAAAAGCAGATAAGATGGACATAAAGGTTAAGAAATGAAAATAACATATACACTAAAAAAAAAAATCACAACAGAAACAGGCTTTATTTCCACCAGACAAGTGAATACTTCCATTAACATCAACTTCTTCAAGACTTGAAGACATGGAAATTAAAGATAGTGCCCAGAGGCAGAGAGGAAAGTTTCATCATGGAGCAATTGTACTGCCCTTCAAAAATCCCTTTCAGCAATATGCTCAATTCAAAAGATTAATTAGTTCTAAATCATTAGATCTCATGTGTTTCAGTATTTGTACAAGACTCTCATTTGAAAGTTACGCATCAGTCCCAATGATATCTTTCAAACAGAAAAAAATATATAGATCAGTATCATAATTTTTTTTTAATTTTAGAAAGTGGGATTGAAATACAGTTTAAAATATTTCAAATAAAAAACTTTATTATTATTTAAGACGCCTTGTTACAAAGCTCCTAGCTACATACATGTACAAAACACAGATATTATCACATGACATCTCAACCCATGACTTCTCCTAAACATCCCAACGTGAACAGTTAATCTACCGGGAGACTTTCCCCTGTAAATCCCAACATCTTGCACAAGGATTTGTTGCCATTCATAGGCTGTGCATGGATGAGGACACTTCATCAGAGAACATTTCAATTTAACATAACCTAACATAAAATAAATCTAACGCAACACTATATGTTCATAAGGGATACGACAAAATTGCATATAATTTTCAACTTTTGCCAGACTCACTAAATTCATGAACAATTTTTCAGAGTTTTCTCTTCAAGGGCACTTTTGAGAGCTTTAGATCTCGTGCTTAACTTTGTATTGAGTTGGTCAGCACCTTGTTAATATGAACAATTACATTAAAGAACAGTATTGGAGGGGGGATGGGGGGACGGGGAGTCATCCGAGGACAGAAACAGGGGGAAGGACTCTCTTTTTCCCTAAGACATTCAAACAGAAAAAACGAGACCCAAAAAGGTAAACAAACAAACAAAGTAGTGTTCACAGTAAAACATGACAGATTTGTAGTTTCATTTGAAACCAACAGCAAATCATGAAACGTCATGAAAAATATAAGTCAAGGTAAAATCTCCTAGAGTAATTACTAAATGAAGTTAAAATTACCACACTGATCAGTAAACCCCAGAAGAAAAATTAAACAGCACTTACATTTCAGGTCCTTCTTAAACATCATACAATTTTTCAAAGTCAATGCATATGATTGGTAGGTTTGGCCACGCTGCACAAATATTTTTTTAAAAAATACAGTATACAGAAAAAACTCTTGTATTCCCCATTTTGAATCATAAGCTCAAAACCCAAGAGTAAAAGATCAGCTAGAAGGATTTTAATTATTTACAAATCCAGCAGGTTCATCTGCCATAATGGCTTGGCTTCCGTCCCACAGTGGCTCTCACCCTCTCCAGCCGCAGAGCTTGGATCCCTGTCCCATCTCTACTGGTCATCAGTCATTTTGAACAGTTCCAGCAGTGCCCCAACAGCTCCAAAATAACCCTACAACAACAATGAGAAAACTACTGTACGATTATCTCTGAACCTTAGTCCAATACCTACTGTTTTTCATAATTCGAGGAATGCTGCCCCCTAATGCTAGAGACACAAGAAACTTAAAACCTGACCTCTGGCATGAAACATAATATAACAACAACAACAACAACAACAACAACAATAAATGCATTGGATATCTATTTGTTTATATACATTAAATAAATTAACTGATGTAAAGTGCATAGAAAAATGTCTGGCACCACAGTGTACACTACATCAGTGTTGACAATTTTTAGGATTTTTAGGATTAGGATTATTTCATTTTAATCCTTGTCATGGCAAAATTCACATTACTCCCATTCCACAGATGAGAAATGGGAGGTAATAAAGTAAATTACCCTTTCAAGGTCACATGAGTTGTGCCAGGGTTCAATCGCAAATCTATCTGACTTCAAAGTTGTAATGTCTCACAAGGTATAGCTCTAAGCTTCCCTCAGTAGATCCTGGAAAGGCATCTAAATCAGCTCAAGTCTCCCTTTGCTCATCTGTAAAGGAAAAGCTCACGTATCTGTGAAAATGAAGGAAGCTGAAAAATGGAAATGTTTAGAGAAGCTGGTTTCCAAAAGGCAAGAGTCTCTACTCCTCTGGTATTTGCCTGACTCAACAGTTACTGCGAAATGGGTGGCATCTGGCAGAACACTACATGGTAGGATCGTTGCCTCCACTGCCAGCTAACCTCTGAGGGCTCACTATATGCTAGAAATTTACATGGATTTCCTCACTTAATTGTCACAATAACTTTATGAGACAAATAATATTATCACCCCATTCCACCAAAGCTAAAACAGAAATGGAGAGGTAGAGTCATTGCCTAAGGTCTCCAAGTCAGTGAGAGCCTGTGCTCTCAACGGCTTGGCTAGGAGACGTCTCTTAGGAGACGTGCACTTACGTAAGTGGAGTGAGTGGGACTGAGTGAGTGAGGACTCCAGGCAGGGCAGGAAGGCCACCTCACCAGCACCTCCCAAAAGTCCTCTCTCCATAATATCCTCCAGGAAGACCTGCCTAAGCGAGAATGAACCTAAGAAGGTAGAGAAATTTCTGAGAAACACCTACAAGGAGACATAAAATTGCTCTACTTTCATCGGCCATAGAGACTGAGTTATGATACTTAGTAACAAACCAAAGCCATCGTTCACAGAGGCCTAAGATTGTACAAAGGGATATGCCTTTTTATCCAGAGAAGTAGGTTTCCCCCAAATGCTAGCTCTTTTTCCTTATCTTACCATCAACTAACTACCTGTGTGCCCTTGTAGATGACTTTTTTTTTTTTTTTTTTTTGCGGTACGCGGGCCTCTCACTGTTGTGGCGTCTCCCGTTGCGAAGCACAGGCTCCGGACGCGCAGGCTCAGCAGCCATGGCTCACAGGCCCAGCCGCTCCGCAGAATGTGGGATCTTCCCAGACTGGGGCACGAACCCGTGCCGCATCGGCAGGCGGACACTCAACCACTGCGCCACCAGGGAAGCCCTTGTAGATGGCTTTTAATCCCTGATGGCTTCCAGGGTTTGTTTTCTGCCTTAGTCCAAGAGGATCTAAACTTAGGGTTGCCAGATAAATGCCAGGTAAAATAACTGTGTCCTATATTTTTAATCGCTAAATATGGCAACACCAGATGGGCTAGAAGAGTGGTCTTTTTCATTTTAATTATTTTTTTAAACAAAATCTCACAAGGGAAATCGGTAATTAAGCAGATAAAAAAGGAGCTGCTCTGGTTGGAGGGAGGGAGAGTGAAAATTCTGAGACTCCACTGCCCTCACCCCCCACAAAAGTTATATCACTTCATGCCTTAGCCTCCTTAAAAAGACAAAAACAAAAACTTTCTTTAGTACAGTCAAACAGTTAACTATTTGGTATTTAACTTCGTATTGTTTTAGATGCTTTAATAAAACAAAACATAGGCTTAGAGAGCTCTAAATAATTTATAAATGCATCAGCAACTTTTCAAATAAATAATTCAGTTTGGAGATGAGAAAAATGCCACAGTAGTTATTCATTACAATTAAAATTTATGACACTCGTTCTCCCAATGTTCTTTCTGCTGCAATACACCCAAGGCTTTGGGTACCTCCCGTGATAAACAGCTGCTCTCTACAGTATTGATTTTAAAGGGGAATAGAAGAGGTGGGAAGATATGAGGGCTCCCCACTCAGTTTTAGAAACCTCCGGTTTGTATTAGTGTAGAAACTGGATATAAGGGACCCTTTGCATTAACTGGAGCGCTCCACTTCTTCTGTAAACAGGCTGCCTAATGGCTAGGACACCAGCCTCTCAAGGCCACCAGGCTACTCGGAGAGAACACTTCTGTTCTCACCAGCTGAGTTGTTTACTTGCCAAGAGTCACCTGTGTTTATCCTCAAATTTGTTTATGACAGTTTGATTGTTAATGTAATAATCTAATGTAATTATATGCTACCTAAACCAATAAAAAGAGTACAAGATGAATGGTCACCTCTTTGAAAATCCAGTTAAATTCTTGAGAAAAATTAAAAAGCTAGTTAACAAGTAAAAGTTGCTAGGAAAGTAGATCTTAAAAGTTCTCATCACAAGGAGAAAGAAAATCTTTGTAACAATGTGTGGTGATGGATGACTAAACTTACACTGACAACCATTTTACAGTATATACATATATCAAATCATTGTTGTGTACCTTAAACTTATACAATGTTATATGTCAATTATATCTCAATAAAAATGGAAAAAAATGAAACAAAGATTGAAAAAGGTAGTCACAAACCACTGCCCTCTATTTAGGTGGATCCTACATATGAAAGATTGGGAAAATCTAGAATGACTCTGCAACCAAATTGCTTCATAAGTATCTTTAATTTCTTGATCTACTTTAAAGAAACAAACCAGAAATCATAAAAGGTGCATAATACTTGTGGATTGTGGAAAAAAAAGAGACAATTACAAAGCTCTGATCAGCAGAACCCATGCTCAAAAATAGGTCTTGGTCCTACATCAAGAAATTGGTGAGTGAATGAACATTTATACATTTTATATTAAAATAGAATGGTAAAAGTAGGGAGATATTTTTCCATGATTACCCATTTAAACTTCTTTTTTTTTTTTAAATTAACCATCTACTAGTCCCGATTGGTGGATAACAGAGCTTCCATTTTATATAATGTTCTTCCTTATCTTTTGCATAAATGCAAACTAAGGAACCCGCTCATATGTTAGACAACCCAAAAACTTCCATGTAGGACAATTAAGTCCATGTGAACTCAACCTACCTCATGTTCCAAAAACAGAGCTTTTAGCTGTCCTTTGGACCAAAAATCCATGGCATAGGCTAGCAGCTTCATGGAGACCATATTGATTCTGAGAAAATTCCCAACAAACACAACTCTGTCAATATTCTGGAAAAAAAAATGAAAGAAAAACAATTGAACCATGACATAAAAATAGGATTTAGCAACAGACCCAATGTGCTGTGTATCACTGTACTCCAGGACCTTGCAGAATGAATTTTTTTTTTTTAAGTAGAATTATTTCAGGATTTCCAAGATGAAGTCAAACAAACCTCAGAATGCATTCCACAAGAACATGAGGGAGAGAATTTGATTGGGGGAGGCAGAGACTAATACTGGGCTCATTTACAGGTATTATGTTAGGCTGCCTTAGATCTGATATGAAATTCAACTCCCAACATTCACATATGAAATTAAAACTGGAGTTCATCTAAATTTGCCTGTGTATTCCTTAAATCCCCCAAACTTCCAACTATAAAATATATTATTACCAACTCATAAATTATTTTTAAAATTTTATTTATTTATTAAAGACATTAAAAAAAAATATTTTGGCCATGCCACGCGGCTCATGGGATCTCAGTTCCCCGACCAGGGATCGAATCTGGGCCATGGCAATGACAGCTCCAAACCCCAACCACTAGGCCACCAGGGAACTCCCAACCAACTCAATAAATTAAATGGCTATGGCATGGTTATTCATCTAACAACTTTGGTCCGGTTGCTCTGTGCCAAACACTGGGAATACAAAAAAGAAACAATACCCACCCAGTCTCTACCTTTAGGATATATGGTGAAATATCCTGTTTGGTCAGTATGTGGGTTACAATATGATAACAAAAAATACATTTATATTTTTGTTGTCACGGATACAGATTTGTATTCTGAACACACCCCTCACACTGAGCTCAGCCTATCTGCCACACAGACACTGCTCACTCCTCACTCACTCACAGAGCCAGTTGCTATGGTTGCTATGCTAAGGGAAGGGAGTCTTGGGAGCTGGCATTATTTTCTGTTCAGTCTATCTAGAGCAACCAGGGTCTGGGAACATCGCCTTCTAACTGTCTCAAGCTTTAACAATACATGAACCCATTAACCACTGTGAAAATTTTCCCTGGGTAGAGGGGTGGGAGGTGGGCCCACGATTAGGGGTCCGGCAGGGACAGGGGAGACCCTGGGTGGGGGTAGGCGTGGAGGAAGGGAAGGGAACGTGGCCAGTGCTTTCCCTGTCCACGTAGGCACCGGGGGGCCTGTTGGGCTCCCAGGCCTAATCCTCTGCCCTGGAGCCTCCCTCCTACCCTGCAGAACCCAAGACTCACCCCACACCCCCACCCATGGCCCCACCTCTGTACTCGGAGACCCCCTCTGAGACCCCCCTCCAACACGCTGGGCATAAACCCCAGCCACACACCCTCACCCAGGTCCTTACCTCCAAACTCTGGAACTCCATACTCCAGAGGCTCCCGTTTGGACGTGCTGCCTCTCCCCTTCTGTGCAGGTCCTAAGCAGAGGCCCCACCCCACGCTTGAGTATCGCCCCTAAGTTCCACCCCCTGCCTAAACTCTGCCCCCCATAGCCAAGGCTTTTTTTTTTTCTTTTTTCCTCTTTTAGATTGGGGTTCTATTTCACCTTGTAGTTGATTCATTTATATTTTCATTTTTTTCTAATAATTCTTTTATTTTTGGAATTTTATTTTGTTCTTTATACTTTGTTATTATTCTGCTCCTTTTGGCTTGTTCCCCCTCCTTTTTTTTTCCCTTTTTTCTGTGGTGGATTTTTTTTACCTTGTTGCATTTGTTTCGATTATATTTTTATTTTTCCTAATATATTTTTATCTTTCTAATTTTATGTTATTTTTTATTCTTTGTTATTGAACTGCTGCTTTTTTTTTTCTCTTTCTTTTTTTTTTTTTTGCCACACTATGTGGCTTGCGGGATCTTGGTTCCCAGGCTGGAGGTTGGGCCTGAGCTCCTGTGGTGGGAGCACCAAGTCCAAACCACTGGACTAAGTGAGAAGCTCAGACTCCAGGGAATATTAATCAGAGTGAGGACTCCCAGAGGTCCTCATTTCACACCAACACCCAGCTCTACCCAACTGCCTGCAAACTCCAGTGTGGACGCCTCAGGCCAAACAACCAGTAAGACAGGAATACAGCCACACCAATCAAAAAAAAAAAAAAAAAGAAATGAAATAAATATGTTACAGATGAAAGAGCATGGTAAAAACCTACAAGACCAAATAAATGAAGATGAAATAGGCAACCTACCTGAAAAAGAATTCAGAGTAATGATAGTAAAGATGATCCAAAATCTCAGAAGCAGAGTGGAGAAAATACAAGAAATGTTTAACAAGGATCTAGAAGAACTAAAGAGCAAACAATGAACAACACAATAACTGAAATTAAAAATACTCTAGAAGAAATCACTAGCAGAATAACTGAGGCAGAAGAATGGATAAGTGAGCTGGAAGATAAAATGGTGGAAATAACTGCCAGGGAGCAGAATAAAGAAGAAAGAATGAAAAGAATTGAGGACAGTCTCAGAGACCTCTGGGACAACATTAAACACACCAACGTTCGAATTATAGGGGTCCCAGAAGAAGAAGAGAAAAAGAAAAAGTCTGAGAAAATATTTGAAGACATTATAGTCAAAAACTACCCTAACATGGGAAAGGAAATAGTCAATCAAGTCCAGGAAGTGCAGAGAGTCCCATACAGGATAAACCCAAAGAGAAACATGTTGAGACACAAATTAATCAAACTATCAAAAATAAAATACAAAGAAAAATTATTAAAAGCAGCAAGGGAAAAGCAACAAATAACATACAAGGGGATGCCCATAAGGTTAACAGCTGATCTTTCAGCAGAAACTCTGCAAGCCAGAAGGGAGTGGCAGGACATATTTAAAGTGATGAAAGGGAAAAACCTACAACCAAGAAAAAATCTACAACCTTACTCTACCCAGCAAGGATCTCATTCAGATTCGACGGAGAAATCAAAAGCTTTACAGACAAGCAAAAGCTATGAAAATTCAGAACCACCAAACCAGCTTTACAACAAATGCTGAAGGAACTTCTCAAAGTGGGAAACACAAGAGAAGAAAAAGACCTACAAAAACAAACCCAAATCAATTAAGAAAATGGTAATAGGAACATACATATCGATAATCACCTCGAATGTAAATGGATTAAATGCCCCAACCAAAAGACACAGACTAGCTGAATGGATACAAAAACAAGACCCTTATATATGCTGTCTACAAGAAACCCACTTCAGACCTAGGGACACATACAGACTGAAAGTGAGGGGATGGAAAAAGATATTCCATGCAAATGGAAATAACAAGAAAGCTGGAGTAGCAATACTCATATCAGATAAAATAGACTTTAAAATAAAGAATGTTACAAGAGACAAGGAAGGACACTACATAATGATCAAGGGATCAATCCAAGAAGAAGATACAACAACTGTAAATATTTATGCGCCAACATAGGAGCACCTCAATACATAAGGCAATCGACAGTAACACAATAATAGCGGGGGACGTTAACACCCCACTTACACCAATAGACACATCATCCAGACAAAAAATAAATAAGGAAACAAAAGCTTTAAGTGATATAATAGACCAGATAGACTTAATTGATATTTTTAGGACATTCCACCTGAAAGTGGAAGAATACACTTTCTTCTCAAGTGCGCATGGTACGTTCTCTAGAATAGATCACATCTTGGGTCACAAATCAAGGCTTGGAAAATTTAAGAAAATTGAAATCGTATCAAGCATCTTTTCTGACCACAACGCTATAAGATTAGAAATCAATTACAGGCAAAAACAGTAAAAAGCACAAGTACATGAAGGCTAAACAGTGCACTGCTAAATAACCAAGAAATCACTGAAGAAATCAAAGGAGAAATAAAAAAAATACCTAGAAACAAATGACAATGAAAACAAAATGATCCCAAACCTATGGAATGCAGCAAAAGCAGTTCTAAGAGGGAGGTTCATAGCAATTCAAGCTCACCTCAAGAAACAAGAAAAATCTCAAATAAACAATCTAACCTTACACCTAAAGCAACTAGAAAAAGAAGAACAAAGAAAACCCAAAGTTTGTAGAAGGAAAGAAATCACAAAATCAGAGCAGAGATAAATGAAACAGAAACGAAGAAAACAATAGCAAAGATCGATAAAACTAAAAGTTGGTTCTTTGAGAAGATAAACAAAATTGATAAACCTTTAGCCAGACTCATCAAGAAAAAAAGGGAGAGGACTCAAATCAATAAAATTAGAAATGAAAAAGGAGAGATTACAACTGACACCACAGAAACAAAAGACCATAAGAGACTACTACCAGCAACTACATGCCAATAAAATGGACAGCCTGGAAGAAATGGACAAATTCTTGGAAAAGTACAGCCTTTCAAGATTGAACCAGGAAGAACTGGAAAATATAAACAGACCAATCACAGACAATGAAATTGAAACTGTAATTAAAAATCTTCCAACAGGACTTCCCTGGTGGCGCAGTGGTTGAGAGTCCGCCTGCCGATGCAGGGGACATGGGTTCGTGCCCCGGTCAGGAAGATCCCACATGCCACAGAGCGGCTGGGCCCATGAGCCATGGCCACTGAGCCTGCGCATCCAGAGCCTGTGCTCCGCAACAGGAGAGGCCACAACAGTGAGAGGCCCGGGTACCGCCAAAAAAAAAAAATCAAAAAAAAAAATCTTCCAACAAACGGAAGTCCAGGACTAGAGGGCTTCACAGGCGAATTCTATCAAACATTTAGAGAAGTGTTAACATCCATCCTTCTCAAACTCTTCCAAAAAATTGTGGAGGGAGGAATACTCCCAAACTCATTCTACGAGGCCACAATCACCCTGATACCAAAACCAGACAAAGATATCACCAAAAAAGAAAATTATACACCAATATCACTGATGGACATAGACACAAAAATCCCCAACAAAATACTAGCAAACAGAATCCAACAACACAGTAAAAGGATCATACACAATGATCAAGTGGGATTTATCCCAGGGATGCAAGGATTCTTCAATATATGCAAATCAATCAATGTGATACACCATATTAACAAATTAAAGAATAAAAACCGTATGATCCTCTCAATAGATGCAGAAAAAGCTTTTGACAAAATTCAACACCATTTATGATAAAAACTCTCCAGAAAGTGGGCACAGAGGGAAACTACCTCAACATAATAAAAGCCATATATGACAATCCCACAGCCAACATCACTCTCAATGGTGAAAAACTGAAATCATTTCCTCTAAGATCAGGAACAAGACAAGGCTGTCCACTCTCACCACTATTATTCAACATAGTATTGGAAGTCCTAGCCACAGCAGTCAGAGAAGAAAAAGAAATAAAAGGAATGCAAATTGGAAAAGAAGAAGTAAAGCTGTCACTGTTTGCAGATGACATGATACTGTACACAGAAAATCCTAAAGATGCCACCAGAAAACTACTAGAACTAATCAATGAATTTGGTAAGGTTGCAGGATACAAAATTAATGCACAGAAATCTCTTGCATTCCTATACACTAACAATGAAAGATCAGAAAGAGAAATTAAGGAAACAATCCCATTTACCATTGCAACAAAAAGAATAAAATACCTAGGAAAAAACCTACCTAAGGAGGCAAAAGACCTGTGCTCAGAAAATATAAAACACTGGTGAAAGAAATCAAAGATAACATAAACAGATGGAGAGATATACCATGCTCCTGGATTGGAAGAATCAATATTGTGAAAATGACTATACTACCGAAAGCAAGCTACAGATTCAATGCAATCCCTGTCAAATTACCAACGGCATTTTTCACAGAACTAGAACAAGAAATTTTACAATTTGTATGGCAACACAAAAGACCATGAATAGCCAAAGCCATCTTGAGAAAGAAAAACGGAGCTGGAGGAATCAGGTTCCCTGACTTCAGACTATACTACAAAGCTACAGTAATTAAGACAATATGGTACTGGCACAAAAACAGAAATATAGATCAATGGAACATGATAGAAAGCCCCGAGATAAACCCCCACACATATGGTCCCCTTATCTTTGACAAAGGAGGCAAGAATAGACAATGGAGAAAAGACAGCCTCTTCAGTAAGTGGTGCTGGGAAAACTGGACAGCTACATGTAAAAGAATGAAATTAGAACACTCCCTAACACCATACACAAAAATAAACTGAAAATGGATTAAAGACCTAAATGTAAGGCCAGACACTATAAAACTCTTAGAGGGAAACATAGGAAGAACACTCTATGACATAAATCACAGCAAGATCTTATTTGACCCACCTCCTAGGGTAATGGAAATAAAAACAAAAATAAACAAATGGGACCTAATGAAACTTCAAAGCTTTTGCACAGCAAAGGAAACCATAAACAAGACGAAAAGACAACCCTCAGAATGGGAGAAAATATTTGCAAACGAAGCAACTGACAAAGGATTAATCTCCAAAATTTACAAGCGGCTCATGCAGCTCAATATCAAAAAAACAAACAACCTAATCCAAAAATGGGTGGAAGACCTAAATAGACATTTCTCCAAAGAAGACATTCGGATGGCCAACAAATACATGAAATGATGCTCAACATCACTAATCATTAGAGAAATGCAAATCAAAACCACAATGAGGTATCACCTCACACAGGTCAAAATGGCCATCATCAAAAATTCTACAAACAATAAATGCTGGAGAGGGAGTGGAGAAAATGCAACAGTGCATTCCCTGCACTGTTGGTGGGAATGTAAATTGATAACAGCCACTATGGAGAACAGTATGGAGGGTCCTTAAAAAACTAAAAATAGAATTACCATATGACCCAGGAATCCCACTACTGGGCATATACCCTGAGAAAACCATAATTCAAAAAGAGTCATGTACCACAATGTTCACCACAGCACTATTTACAATAGTCAGGACATGGAAGCAACCTAAGTGTCCATCGACAGATGAATGGATAAAGAAGATATGGCACATATATACAATGGAATATTACTCAGCCATGAAAAGAAACGAAAGTGAGTTACTTGTAGTGAGGTGGATGGACCTAGGGTCTGTCATATAGAGTGAAGTAAATCAGAAAGAGAAAAACAAATACTGTATGCTAACGCATATATATGGAATGTAAAAAAGTGGTACTGATGAACCAGTGGCAGGGCAGGAATAAAGATGCAGATGCAGACGTAGAGGACAGATTTGAGGGCACAGGGGGGAAAGGGGAAGCTGGGACGAAGTAAGAGGGTAACATTGACATATTTACCCTACCAAATGTAAAATGGATGGCTAGTGGGAAGCTGCTGCACAGGACGAAATCAACTTGATGCTTTGTGACGACCTTGAAGGATGGGATAGGGAGGGTGGGAGGGAGGCTCAAGAGGAAGGGGATGTGGGGATATATGTATACATATAGCTGATTCACTTTGTTGTACAGCAGCAACTAACACAACATTGTAAAGCATTTATACTCCAATAAAGATGTGAAAAAAAAATATTGTGAAAGGAGGATGTCTCTCTTGTAACCCCAGAGTTCAAAGGAAGGGCTGCCATCCACCTATTATAAAGACTGCCTCATACCCTGTTTAACAGTCCACTATTCAACTAGAAGGGGGTTGGAAAGGGTTTCTGCAGTACCTGTAATGTTCTAATTCTTGATCTGTGTGGTGGGTATTAGGTGTGTGTGTGTGTGTGTGTGTGTGTGAAAATTCGTCAGGCTGTATACTTGTGATTTGAGCCTTCTTCTGTATGTATGTCATATTTCTCTTAAAATTTATATTTAAAAAAAGTCTACTACTGACGCTACTAGATTCTTTAGTGTTTCTTCTACTATTACCTATTCCATGCCCCCTCTTTCTTGTCTTCCTAATACAATTCAGTTGTATTACACATCTACTTTACACATCTTGTATTTCAGGAGAGGGTTCCATTCTTACCAAAGGAATTTTGCGGTGTTTTAAAACATAGTACCAAAGCTTGGTCTGTCATCAGGTCCACCCTTTCTTGTGCCTGGGGCTCTGGCTGGCCTCAGCTGTAGCAAGCTCTCTGTGCTTTGATAGCCCTGTACAATGCTGCTTGAACTCCATGCCACAAGGCAACACTGTAAAGAAGCTGAAAGCAGAGAGAATATCGAATATTGCAAGTGGAATGTTTTACCTGCAATTATTTGCAAGGATGCAGAGAGATTTTCGCCAGCCTTCATTAGGTGTGTGTCCATGAGGTTGGAGAGGTTATGGTATAGATTGTCATTTTTACCATGTTTCCACAGTTAGATGGTTTTGTTTGTCATCATCTAGTGCCTACTTAAAACTAAAACATACTCCTGTCCCTCCCCGCAACACACGCCCCTCATGTTCTACCAGGTGTGACTACGAGGAAGGGCAGGTTTCCTAAGGATCTGTGGTTTTGTGAGGGTCAACAGTTATTGCACTGCCAAACGATGTTTACGAATGACACATGGCTTTCCCTAGGTTAAGGCCTTACCTCATTCAATGCACACATCCGAGCAATGGAGCCAATGTTGTTGGTGATGGTGACCAGGGTGGCTCGGGCGAGGTCTTCCTTGCTGATGGAATCTCGCTTTTCCTTACTCATCATGTTGCCAAAGCTATGTTGGAAATAGTAGCGAGAGTGTTCAAAATCATCCTTAGGCAGGCCCCATGCTTCCACCAAAGTACTGTGGAAAGCTTTATGAATAACTCTGATTGAGCTCAAATGACCTGATTTGGCTACCATGGTTTACAAGCAGACAGGATTACGGTATGAATGGTTGGCTGCCCTTTTCTTAATAGGGACAAAGCAGCACGGCTATTAACGGGGGAAAAAAAAATTTAAATGCCTCTAGATATCTGGACAAGAATGGAACGGGGGAAACTGTTGCAGTTTTCCAGAACCTTCTTTCAAAGCTGCCTTATTTTAAGCACAAGCGTCAAGAGCTAAACATCCCAGTGCTTCATCAAGGGCAGGAGATCAAGTCTGAGCTCCAATACCATAGATCCTTGCACCAGGCTGGTGGGTTGACATTTAAAAAGAACAACATCTAAATGAACAGCCAGGGTGGAGAGGTTGCCTTGTGTTTAATCGCTACTGCTCCTAGCTACTTAGTCTCTACCTTGATGCTACCGCAGATCCTTGAAGGCCAAATCGTTCATAGTCTCCTCCGTAAATGTCCTTCACCAGCTTATCAACATTGGTGCTGTCGCCTTTAGCTGCCATTTCCAGAGCTTCTTCAAAGGTCTCACAACCAGTCAGCAAGCAACATAGGCCTAGGAATGTTCCACCTCCAAGACTGAAGGAACAATAAGGTTTATTTTTTAAGTTTTACTTTAAGAGATGCCCATCCAAGTCCCCAACTACATCAAAATCACTAATATGGGTTAATAAGAACAGAAGAAAAACAAAGGGGCACTTGAATCAAAGTGCTGTGTGAAAAAGAGCTTTAGGGTGGATTGGATAAAAAAAGAGGGCAGAGACTGAAAGATACATCGAGGAAAACTCGCCCTGAAGTTTAAGAACAAAACCAGAGAAAGACTCTCACTGATTTCCGTTGTGAGACCTTGAACTAGCCACTGACCTAAGCGCTTCATGCAGTCTTCCCACCTATAAAATGGGGCCAAATCATGATCTATCTCCCTTATTTGGGTGGTCTGAAAGCAGCAAATAATCAGAGAAATGACCTCTATTAAAAAAGAAAAAATACAAACATATGTAGCTAAACAAATACTTAGAAAAAGAAACTGTGTGTACCTGAAGCATAGTTCATACCTATAGAGACAAACTCTGGTGACAAAACTGAACTGGGACGCTGCCCAGAATAGCTGGCCTCCAAGCTGTATCCTTCATCTGACCTTGCTTCTCTAGCAGAAATAATTTCATTTAAGCTCCTCAAAAATTTCAAAAAGGAAACCACCGATGGATCTCATATTGGATTTTTTTCTGGTAAACTCTAGAAAAGGTTATTAGTACTTTACTTACCACCCAGTAGTCAAAAACTAGTAACAAAGATCTTAAAATGGTTTCAGTGCTCGAACGATGTTTTAAAAGCTTTCAGTTGTTTGGGAGGAAATTCTTCTAAAATAGTCTTTTGAGAAAAAGTTAGAAACCAATTATGATAGTTGAAAGTGAACTCAATTGTGTATAAATATCAAAGTTACCTGAGGGGAAGTAAAGCAGATTCAGAGTAAAGCAGTCACCAGTGAGCTCCTGGCAGGAAAGAGAACTGATATGGCCATGAAAGGGCCTTACTCTTTACCTACTAGACAGAAGAGCAAATGCACATCAATTTGTTCTGAAGCCTCAAGAGCTGCTAGCCCTGGGAATTCGACATGTGTTTGGCTACTGGCTTTTAAGAGAAAATTCAAGTTGAGACCGAGGTTACTTTTAAAACTTAAATTTGAAAAAAGAAAATTTAGGGTAAATTATACTGACTGTCAATAACTGTTACCAAGAAGGCACCAGATTATAGACACACGGTTCTTTAAATCACATCTAAGGACTAACTGTGATATTTCTTAAATAGTGATTCTTACAAAAATACATACTTGATTGAAATGATGGGTTCTCATGGAAACTTAGGTAGCTGGGCACAAGTCACAATATCCAAACTGTAGGTGCAGTACCACAAGGACAAAAAGAGCTCTGTGGGCATTACTGCCTTGACACCTCAGTCACAGTAGAACGTTTGGATTCCCTTTAAGAAAGTTTGTCTTCATTTACATTTAACATGGCACCTCATGCGATGTCGTTAGTTTCAGTCTACCCTAGAAAGCTAGCGTGGTTTAATGGGAACACTTTTTGGTTTGCGTGTCATCTGACTTTGCCTTGTTTTCTCTCTTTATATTCTTTTAAAAGGCTTGGCTCACATTTCTAGTCCCTACCTTTCATCCACACTAATAACCTTTCTTTGAATATCAGGTGTTTGTATTCATCAAGGTGTTCAACAACCAACTCCAAACATAGGCACCTGAAGACACTGGCTGACTTAGAAAGAAGGCAACTCATCATCTGATGTGTTGGTATGAGTGAAAAAGGACACGGGCTTTGTATGACTGGAAAGTGACAGGTGACTCCAGACAAAGAATCGGAGCTGAATGGAGAAAGCGAGCATGAATCGGCACAGCTGGAGCACTGCAGATAGGAGGAAGGAATGCACGGTTGCAGAAAAGCACTTTATTGACCTCCTTAACCTGCTAACCACTCTCTAGTCTAGTGATTCTCTTGCTCATAATCAGATACATGTTTGTTTCAGCAGACACACAGCAAGATCCTCAGCAAATCAGAGACCAAAACATCATTTTGTTTTTAAAACCCAACAAACTTGTAGTGAGGAATTTTAGGAAGAAGTATTCAATTACTTAATTATCCATATGCCCTTAAAACTGATTCCAAAAGAATGAAATAAGCTGCACTGTTCATTTCACTGAAGTTTTAAAATTCTTTTCATTCTTCTTTTAATAGATTACACATTCTAACTATGTTAGCTGTTAAGTTCTGTTTTTTCAGATGACTTCTATAATAAAATTGGAGTTGGTCAACAGAAATGTTGCTACTAACCTAGGATGCAGTGAAGTTACACACAACACTGAAACAAACCATTTAAAATCATATGCTTAAAAGAAAACTGACATCCTGTAACGATGTGGCTTCCTAAAAATAAAAATGCTTAATGGGAAAATAGGGTATAGGAGAATAACAAAAAACCTAGAGTTAATAGCTATCACAGTAGGAGTAGCAAAATTAAAACTGAAGCCTTTGCTTAAATCAGTGATTCCCAAAGTGTATTCCACACACTGATGTTCACTGCTGACCAAAATACAGGCACACCTCATTTTCCTGTGCTGCCCTTTATTACACTTTGCAGATATTGCAGTTTTTACAAATTGAAGGTTTGCAGCAATCCTGCATCCTCAAGTCTATCAGTGCCATTTTTCCAACAACATTTGCTCACTTTGTGTCTCTGTGTCACATTTTGGGTAATTCTCCCAATAGTTCAAATTTTAAAATTATTATTATAGTTGTTATGGTGATCTGTGGTCTTTGGTGCTGCTATCGCATAAGGATTATTACCCACTGAAGGCTTAGATGATGGTTAGCATTTTTTAGCAATAACATATTTTTTAATAAAGGCATATACATTTTTAAAACATAATTCTAGTGCACACTTAATAGACTACAGTACAGTGTAAACACAACATATATATGCACTGGGAAACCAAACAATTTGTGTGATTCGCCTTATTGCGATACTCGCTTATTGCGGAGGTCTGGAATGGAACCTGCAGTATCTCCGAGGTATGCCTGTAGTTTAGCTCAGTGGTTTTCTAACCTGGATCAAAAAAAAAACCTTTGGCAGAACAACTCTGGTTGGACAAGGAAGATCTGGGGCCCACAGACTTGATATTTCATTCCCCTCCCCCACCTGTGGCAGCCCCAGAAAGGGCTCTCTAGTAACCTTCAGTCTCCTGTAGCACCTTTCCAAAACTACTGGTTAAAGAGAGCTTGTAAGGAAGCTTGGGCATCCACACAGGATTTGGTGATGATTGCAGATCAGTGATCATTAACTGGCATTTACCAATAACTGGAATGGATAGGCGTTATTGCACATGTGACAGATGCCAAACGTCACAATTTGGCTCATTATTCGAAGACAACACAGATCCTTGGAACCCCCAAGTTTGAGAGAGTGTAGCTGTGATATAATTCGCGAATTTGTTAAGTGTTAATGAACAAAATTATAAATGTGTCTAATTCTGGAAAATGTTTAGCGTGTTACCTTGAGACTAGCTCTACTAATTCAATGGTTCCTTTGGGGAAGCAGTCTGTAGTTTCTTAAAACTTATACCTTTCTCAGGAGATCACTCTCTTAAGGTAAAACCAGCTCAGCCGAATTCTTCATTTGTCGCGGACAGTTCTGACGGTCCTAATGAGGCCATGGGGCCAGTTGTGATTCTCACGTGAGCAAGTAAGGTTAGTGCTGTATTCTCAGTGAGAAAATGTATTGACTAGTGGTAATTAAGGTACACACAGAAGCCTATATTCTGGACACAAGCGGGATCAGTCAGAATGTGTGGTTCAGGGTTTCTTAACACCACTAACTGTTAACATTTGGGGCTTGATACTTTTTTGCTGTGGGGGACTGACCAATGCACTGTAGGATATTTAGCAGCATCCCTAATCTCTGGTCACTAGATGCCATTATCACTGCACCTCCAGTTGTGACAGCCAAAAAGATGTCTCCAGACATTGCCAAACGCCCCCTGGGGGCCTCAGTCTTCCCTTCCCCAGTGGTGAACCACTGATATCTGCAGAACCCATCACAAGTCATGTCGATACAGGAGAAAAGCAGTCCTCTCCTTCTAACGGGTGAGTAGAACCGCAGAATTTCAGTACTGGAAAAGCCTGTAGAAACTAAGAAATGACCCACTCACTTCATGGCACAAGCAAGGAAACTGAGGCCCAGAGAAGTTACATAATATCTTCATCTATCAAAAACAAGGGTTTCAATACCACGTTTCAAAGCACACACCACACAACACTAGTTCCTTAAGTTGTTCCTCCAAAACTGGGTTCTGCGGTCCAATAAGTTGAAGAAACACTTCATACCAAATCTTCTTATAAGTAAGGAAAACCTGTTTAATTTTGTTTATTCGACAATTTCTCAAAGACTTCTGACCCTGGGGCTTTTGCCCGTGTTGAATCCCCATTAACAGGAAGCTGAGCCCACGTGCCCTTGCGGAGTGTGTACATTAAGAAACATGGTACTCTGCTCTGCTCTAGTTGCAGGGCTGTTTTCCTGTCCACTGCACTCCCAAATTCCCTGTGAGGTGTGCTGACTATTCCAGTTTGCAGCTGGAGCATTTGCCTGAGGGTAAAAAACACTCTTTGTAAACCCAATCTGGCTCTCTGACTGGAACAACTATTTCAAGCAATTCTTCCTGTGCTAGGCACCAAGCTAATTCCAGAAAGAAGCCCTCTTTGACCATCCCACGCATCCTTCCACCTGGATTCTACTGTGCTTGTGGTCCCTGCCATTCACCTGGCACTTAATATGTCTGCCTTTGGGAAAATTTCTGGTATGTGCAACACTTTTCCCCACAACCTCACCAGTTTCCAACCAAGGCTGTGTTTTATTAACCTTTCTATAAATCACCCTGTGTAACATATCCAATAGATCCTTTTTGGTTGGCTGAGGAGGGTAAGATCTTTCTTTTAAAAATGTATTAAATATAAATAACCTTTTCAGAAAGTGGTCTTCAAGGAAGAGGCCTGGGTTTAAGCACAAAAAGGTTCTTCTAGTGGAAACCACATTTACCTGGTCCCTGTAACTCTTTTATAGTTGTCCTTGGAGTACACTGCTAGGATGCTGACACCTGAGCCCATGTTCACCAGCAACATAGGGTACGGGTTATCCAGACAGTACGGTCTTTTTTGACACAATTCGGGATTTGTGGGATTTTCAAAATAGTAACATTCCGGCTTGCCGTTGAAGCCAACAGAGTCAACGTAAAGCAGGCCCTGAATCAGACAGTCCAGTTCGTCCAGTTTGTGGAGCTGAAGGTCAGCAATCTGAAAGAGAAGGAGCCCTTGTGAGAGAGACCACTACCACCTCAGGGGAAGCCCCCGAAAGCTTTCAGCTGAACTTAACATGTGTCATGAACAGGAAAAGCATGGAAACATCCTTCAAGTACCATGCTGTGAAATCTTGTTGAGAACCAGTCATTCCGCTGGAAAGGCAGCCTTTACCGGACGTCGTGTCTACCCACGGTGCCTGCCGAGAGACAGGACCCTACCTGATAGCTGGCAAGGCAGCCACTAGCACGTGGGGTAGGCAGAAGGGCTGCCCCTGAAAGTTACGTCCATGTCCTCATTTTCAGAACCTGTGAATGCTGCCTTATTTGGAAAAAGGGTCTTTGCAGGTGTGATTCAGTGAAGAATCTTGAGATGCAGAGGGCATCCTGGGTTATCTGGGTGGGCCCTAAGTCCACTGACAGTTTCCTTATGAGACACAGGAAAGATCTGACAGACACAGAGGAGAAGGCTGTGTAAAGACGGGAGGCAGAGCCTGGAGAACTGCACCAGAGGCCAAGGAAGGCTGATGGCCACCAGAAGCTGGGAGAGGCAAAGGATGGATTCTGCCCAGGAGTCTCTGAAGGAAGTGTGGTCCTGCCAACACCTTGATTTCGGCCCTCTGTCCTCCAGAACTATGACTGAGTAAATTTCCGTTGTTTTAAGCTGCTAGGTTTGTGGTAATTTGTTAGAGCAGTCACAGGAAGCTAACCCAGCATACCTCAGGGTGAGGTGAGTGAGAATGTTCTGAAAGCAGAAAGGCTCCTACACTTCTTGGCAGGATACGGGGTCCTGAGGGAGACATGTGAGCCTGGGAGCTGGGGACAATCTCCTCTGAGCCCACACAGCCCAACACTCCTTTTCCCAAGCCTGGGCTTTGGAGTTCGACAGACCTGGCTTTGAAAGCTATAACTCCAACACTTAACTAATTGAGGGATGTGGGGCAAGTTACTTAACTTCTCAAGCCTCAGTTTCCTCCTCTGTAAAATGGGAATAATACCCACAGTGCAGTACTGTGAAGGTTACGTGATAATAATATATGTAAAATGCTAACACAGGGCTTGGCAAGTGCAAAGGACTCAAAAAATATTGACTCTTTTATTAATAGCTTGAGGTGGTCCCAGAGTGTCCTTTCATGCTCCTATGAAACAAAAACTCCTATTCTCCTGTACGGGGGAAAAAAGTAAAGGGGAATAAGCTGGCTGAGGGCTAGCCTTAGCGGAGCATGGGTACTTTGCATCCTCAAAAGTTTATTCATGATCAAGAGTGATATTACTGCTGGTCCAAAAAAAAAAAAAAAAATCTAACATTCACCAACATGAAACTGAGCCAATGATGGAAGATCATTTTTAAGTTCTAATTTAAATTTTAAAAAATCTCTTTAAGAAAATAATAACTGGTATTTATTATTTACTATATGCCAAGCACCTGTACTAGATCATTTAATTCTCACAAAAACCCTATGAGGAGGTATTGTTATCCTAACTCTATGGTTAAGGCTCATAGAGCTTAAATAATTTTCCCTAAGTGATACAACTAGCAAATGCCTCCTAATAACTTGCTGTTCTTCTCTTGTCTTCATTCATAATGAGTCCTGCTTCTGGGATCTGGAAACCACCTACACAACTACTATACTTACATATTTTGCCCCAAAGGCATCATCATCATTATAAAAGTTAATAGCTAGAAGAAAACTTCTGACTTTTTGTCACTCACCTGAATGTCCCATTCAACAAAAATCCACTGAAGCTATACCTGCAGAGCAGACTTAGTTAGAATAGGTTACCAGCAAGGTGGTAGACGTTTTCTTTTTTTTTCTAACATCTTTAAAAATATGGAACGCTTCACAAATTTGCGCGTCATCCTTGCGCAGCGGGCATGCTAATCTTCTCTGTATCGTTCCAATTTTTAGTATATGTGCTGCCGAAACGAGCACTAGACGTTTTCTTGATACAGAGAAACAATCATTCTAAATGATACTTGGTGATAAAGTACATCTATCTCATAAGTGATTTTTGAACATTTCATTTTTCACCAAGTGGAAATTTGGGGTGAGATGCATGTCATGATTCACGTGTTCAGGGGGTAATACTATAGGTATAAGGCTATCTGGAGACCTAAACACTATAGTGACACAGCCATGTAAACGCTATCTTCTCATCCTCCGGGATTCCCTGGCCCTATCAACATCTTCCAACGCACTCACAGCGTGGGTCACATTCTGGCTTGTTTTTGGTTCAGTGGGTGACCCTGAGCACCACGCTCAAAGGCCTGTCCATAATAATGGCTTAATAAACATTTCTTAAATGGAACAGGGAAAACTGTCCCCTCCTGGATCACCACAAACTTAAAAGTAGCGATTTCATCACCCAGTCTTGGGGCCATAGGTTCACCTGCTTAAAAATTAATCGGAGGTCCATCAACAATATTGACAGCAGTGCCCAGAACCAACATCACAAACACGAACAGTGACACCGTCTGTTCAGGGGACATCCTGAAACTATGTTCGGGAAAAAGAAAATCCTGTCAGGGCAAGTAAACAAAGCACGTAGCTTTGCTCTGAAGGGAAAGATCTCACCTTTCCCCTCAAAATCACTTTCAAATAAAGTGCTAGCAGCAAACGAACATCTCTTCCATAACATTTTACTGAGGGATGGATATTTCTGAAGCCTGAGGTCATGCATCCCCAAACTGGGAAACAGAAATATTAGTCACTTTCATGGAGACCTATGGAGACCTCCCTCAAAGGTCTTTTCCATCCAGGAATAGGGACAGGCTCCCAACTCATTACTTGGATGGTATGTTCAGATCCCAGCAATGGAGAAACACTCTTTCTTTGGGTTTAGTTTTCTTTATACCAGGGTAACAAAAGCAAATGCTGCAGGAGCCAATAAAGGAGTGAAGTCCCTTGACTAAATGTTAAAGTAACAGAATAATGGGGATTGTGGCACACAAGACAATCCACACATATTTAAAATTCACTGCAGCCCGTTGTTGCCATGTGGTAATAAGGGCTTAATGTTGCCAAATGATTCTATTTCTCAAGAGCTGGAAACCCAGATTTTTATGTGAAAACTTCCAATTTTTAAATGCTGGCAGCTAGTTTTAAATTAAAAAAAAAAAAACATCAGATCCAGCAAACATGCAGATGAAGCTTCAGCTAATGTGAACATAACCTTGTCACCAAGGCGTGCTGGTAAATGTTTAACAACCAGCTCTCTGGGAGCAAATGTCCTGGTTTATAGCATTTACCAATTTCCATGGTATAGTCACTCCCACCATAGCCAACTTCAAGCTACCAACACGACGTCACTAAACACAGCGTTGGGAAGACACAATGTGCTCTCATGCACACAATGGGCTCTCGTGAGCCAGTAGGAGCTAACTTCAGCACCCCACTGCTTGTGACTCTCCTTAGCACTTTTGGAAAGTATGAGTTCTGCCAATTCCTAAATCATTAAGCTTAAACAATTCTCCAAACTTAACACCAACAAACCAAACTTGCCCTAAGACTCAAACTCTGTAAATAACGGAAGTAGGGGAAGAAATAAAGTAAAAAAAATAATTTTTTTTCAAACTACTACTATGATAAACTAACTTTGCTTTGCCTAGTCCCAAAGTCACCCAAGCAAGCATGGGTGCAGTGGGGTTCTCAAATTTTAGGTGCCATCAGAATCACCTGGAGGGTTTGTTAAATCACAGATCGCTGGGTCCCACTCCCAGAGTTTCTGATTGCATGTCTATCAATATCGCAGGTGATGCTGATGCTGTTAGTCCTAGGACCACACAGACTTTGGAGCTGAAGAGCTGGGATTAATGCATGACCCCACTACAGTACAGTGACAACAGGCCTTCAATAAAATCACACACTCTCCCCAACAGCAGCTGCCTTGGCTAACCTGCAGGGCTGTTTTCAAGAATCCAGTGAGATGGCTGTGTGAACATGCTTTGGAAACATGAGTTATACATGAATTTTACATAAGAAGTAAAATAATTCAGGTCTTCTTATCTCAAGTTGAAATACATTTGGAAACATCATTTCCAAGCCGAAAACTCTAATTTCTCAAAGGAATTCAGTGATTCCCTGTATGATGAAATTAGAAAAAATATGGATTCTAAACACATGTTCAGGATACAACTGTAAGAGGTTCTCCTTATGTGCTTCAGTCTGTCAAAAATAAATACTATTACATATAAGATGGCTAAACAACAAGGTCCTACTGTGTAGCACAGGGAACTATATTTAATACCCTGTGATAAACCATAATGGAAAAGAATATGAAAAAGAAGGTATGTATATATATGTATAACTGAATCACTCTGCTGTATAGCAGAAATTAATGCAACATTGTAAATCAACTAGACTTCAATAAGATAAACTTAAAAAGTAACTAAATAAATAGCTGAGTAAATAAATCTGGTAAAAACCATCCCAGGAGGTTCCATACCTACTCCCTATGGACCTACCCCAAACCAGTTCCATCACTCTCCTGTGCTTGAGAAATGAGTCACCAAATTGTTTTGCACAAAATGAATAAAATACACATCTGTATGATACCCCACACTTCCCAAGGTGCTTTTGCTGACCCTGGCTCCATAAATCATAATGGAAGTGGCAGAAAAGGTTATCTTACTAAACCAAGAACAATTTGCATATAAAATGGTTGACTCTGAATTATAAATTACACTCGGGGCTCTTTTCTCCCCACACAGGACAGCTAACTGAGACCTGAGAGAGAGATGAATTTCAAATGTGTTCTGTGAGTGAGAAAAATAACAAAACCTCAAAGATGGCTTCTTCCTCCTGGCACCCAATGATAAAGGGGGAACATGAATGGCCAAAAGGGTCAAGCCAGAATGAAGTGTAGGATGACGGTATCTACAACGCTTATGCTCCTGCAATATCACAAATCAGTTCCTGGATTAATACTAGGAACCCAGCTAATAATGAATGGTCTACTTAGATTTAGAATTTCACACATCCACAATTACCTTATTATCCCCTCCTGATGATTTTTCCACCATTATTAACTTTTTTCGGTTGTGTCCTTGGAGATTTCTGGCTTAATGAAGGCCAATTCTTAAGTCCTCACACCTTGAAAAAAATGTAGCGAAGCAATAAGAGAATCTTTTACTGTTCCCTAAATCTCATGTAAACCCAGTAAGATTGTTGTTATATCCTGCTCCTTTAGACGGTAGGTATTTGTTTTCTCCTAAAAAATGAAAAGAGCCACTTCTAACTTCTAATAAATGTTAGTCTTGGACTGAACAAAACTTACAAGGAAAAGTATCTCTTGTAATGAAGAGCTAAGTGGACAAAAGGGATGACTGTTTTCTAAAAATTTTCTATCATTAGAATACTTTGCATTCTAAAGAATGCAAAGCTGGGAAGTGTACTTGTGGATGAAAATATTAGATTTGGTACATAAAATATTCTGGTAGGTTCTTTAAAACAACACTCGCAGAACATAGACAGTGGGGAGAAACACGAAGTTCAGTGAAATCTACAGGATTAAGTGCCCTGGTTTACAACCACATGGGAGCCTCCCCTATGAGAACCACTTTCTCAAATTGTAGGATTCTTCATTGGCCTCTACCAATCTCTTGGAGCATATGTTGTTTAAGTTTGTCTTTTGTGTTCCATTTTGTTGAATCATTAATTTTGAAGGCAAACTTTGGCCAGCCAGAAATTTGTTTGTGACAGTGATCCTAAAATGTTGAAGGAAGGAAGGAGAGAGGGAGGGAGGGAGGGAGGAAGAAAGGAAGGAAAAGGGGAAAGAAAAAGGAAGAAAGAAATGCAGCTTTGTTCAATTGAAAGTATTCTACACAGGGGTCTAGTTTAATGCTTGTCTTGTGGCTTTGTAACTCTTTCTTGTACATTCTAAATTGATGAAGACTAGTTAACATTATCTAAGGATTTAAGTGCATTTACTATATATGAAAAGGACACAGTCATCAGACATAACAATTGCTAACTATTCAGGGTCGGCTGAACATCATTTACATAGCCCTAGTTACTCAGGTTTTTAAAATACATGTCTGCAAACTTGTATTATGCTCAAAAGAGTGATTTTATATAACAACGACAGGACTTTACAGGTATGTATATACACTGCTTTATTATTTGTCAGATTGTTTGCTACATAGTATAGTAGTATATATTGATCCTTTACAACTTAGTGTGCCCCTTCAATTTCCCATTCTGGAAAAGTGAAGAGCTTGGATACATTATACCTAAGGGCCTTAGCACTTACTAACCCTAACTCTTCCCCATACCAGCCTGGTTTGCTCTATTTCTTCTTTGGGTTCCTACTCCAATGTTACATCATCACACAAAGACCTGCCCAGCACTTCCTATCCCCCTTACCTATTTATTTTCCCCACTTATTGCCATTTGAATAATACTCCATAATCACTTATTTGATTATTGACCATCTCCCTGCAGTAGAATATAAGCTCCAGGAAGGCAGGGGTTTTGTTTTGTTCATAACAGTACTTGTTGCATTGATAGAGTATGATAAATACTTGTTGAATGAGAATGAATGCTTAGGAAAGAGAATGATAAAACCTATTCATCCTCACAAACTTTGGAAGGATCAGGGCATATCACTTACTGACAGACGGGCTACAGGAAGAGATCTGTCTTCAATTGTCTTCACTTTGGCCAAGACTGAGCATGGAAACAGAAGGCAGGCCATATAATACTTTCTTTTATAGATGGCCAGGCTGTTAGGCAAATACTCCAAACTTGCTCCCTGCACCAGTCTGTTCATTAGGCTCCAGAAACCTGAAGGAGCAGAGGCTTCTTTATCTTGGCTGTAATAAGATATGACCTTTCTCAGTTCAGAAACTTGAGAAACACACTTGCTCGTGGCCAACACAGATTGAGTAACTTTCTGGAATCCAGGGCATTACCCAAGAGGAGGGACGGAGACTTTGATGGAGCTTGCTTAAATGTCCCAGGTCACCTTGGTACACTTCAGGCTCCCTAGTGGAGATGGACACAGAGGACATCCTTGAGGGACCTGGGGAGCTCACAGCACTAGGGGTGGGTCAGCATTTCCTTAATCAGAATTGAGCCGACACCCAGCTCTTACCTAGGGGACGGTATTTAGCGCCTCTTCATCTCTCTTTAGCTTTAGTTTCTTTATCCGCCTAAACACCTTACTGCCACTTTCTGAAAATGATGAAACCGAGGCCCACAGGAGGGACATGTCTTGCCCAGTCACCCAGCTAGTTAAATGCAGAAACAGCAGTAGAATTCAGGATCAGTGCTTTTTCATTTATGAATTTGAACTTAATTTTCATGCCCCTGGATCTCAACTTTCTTAGTTTCAAAACTCTTCAATCATTGGGTCCCTTTAGTGGGAAAAAGATCCCATGGATCATTTAAGTAAGTGGCAGTGTCAGATTCTGCTGGCAAGGGAAAGGGGACACAGGAGGAAAAGCCAAAACCTGAATATAATCAATCTGACTTAATATAATGCTCTAGGGCTCTATTGCCAGCTCTTGTAGAAACTACTTATCAATGAGATAAATGATGTTACTTTTGATGATGCAAATAAAATTTGCAATTATAGCTTTATTAAGTACCATGAATAATGCATTGATTTATTAATTTATTCATTAATGATAAACTTTCTGGCGAGACTAATCCCCAAATCTTCCAACCCTTCCTTCTTCTACGTTCAATCACTACTGTTAATTTAATTTTCTTTATTTTCTCTATCTATTGTTTTTCTTTCTTCTCATTTTATTCCCTGTGAGATGAAGCTAGACAGTACAGAGATTATCTTGACTGCAGAAATGGGGAAATTGGAACACATAGGTGTTAGGGATTGCTTAATAAAGAGAAAGTTAGGACTCCATGTCACTCATCCATATCTTCCACTTAGCCAACTTTGACAAATCTAAATAAGCAATACTGCCAGTCAGGATATAGTATTATTCTTATTATGTAGAGCCATACTCCCTAAATCATATTCACCAATAAAGCAATTCACCTCTAAATAATGTCAAAGATTTCATTTTTGTTTGTGAGCAAAACTTCTGAAGGGCATTCAGAAAACAAAAATGATACAGAGCAAATGGGTAGAAAGAAGTAATCATTTTTAGTAAGATGTGTAGAAAGCCTTTCCTACAGGCCTCAGTCTATATATCTAGGAAACTGGCACAATGATTATGTTTTTCATGAAACATAAGAGTCTGTGGAAAACTAAAATACTTCAGAAGGGGATTTACATCACCTTGTCTTTGGCATATTGTGCAGAAGTAATTCTAACAAACATGATGAGGACAGCCAATATTTATTGAGCAGTAAGTGCCGGGTACATATTAGCTCATTCAACCCTTCATGTAACAACCCTATGAGGCAGAAACTATTTTTACTCTCCTATAGATGAGGAAACTGAGGCACAGAGGGGTGAAGTAAGCTCGTCCAAAGTCCCAAGCCTAGTGGTCAGGTTCTTCCATAAGAGATGCCATGATCACGGGCATGGGAGAGGTTTTCTTTCTTTCTCTAAGAGGTGGTTTTGTTGTTTGCAGGGGGGTAAAGCGGACCTACCGTTCTGAAGTCCTCTTCGAACTTAAAAGCCCCGCCTCCCGTGGCACAGAGAGTGGTGTGCAGGCTGGAGAAGTTCTTCTCACTGCCCATCTGGATGAACCTGTGCATCGCGCAGCTGGGAAAGCGGATGAAATGCAGGTTCCCCTTCCGCCCACACATGGTCAAGTTTTTCAGTTCCAGGTGAACGTCTCGGATCCCGGTTTTCCCGTAAGCCGTGTTCGAAGTCAAATACTTCCTGATGCTCTTCAGGTTCTCCACTTCCTCTTGTTCCTCTTCAGCTGTAATATCCTTCGGTTCAAAGTAGACCAATTTAACCAGCGTCCCACCGATATCCATGCCGAACCACGGGAACGCTAGCGGACAGAAAGACAGAGTGCCCTTGAATTCTGGACAAAGAAATGGGCTGTCTTTGAATAGTCAATAATGAAATGCAGTGGTGTTGCATCTATAGCTGCATTTACCATGCAGTTTACCTGAATTCAACTATAGGTGCCTAAAAGAAGAGACAGGCGAGGAGAAATTCACACTTTAAATGGTGTCCATGATTCTGCCTACACTTCATTCAGAATCGGCCTCGGAATTGAATATGAGATGAGAATAAGATTCCCTAAGTCAGTCTCAATTCCCACGTGGTTCTCAGGGCTCCAGAATCTCACCAAATAGAGTTAACTCCAATACTTAAAGATACATTATTTTGCATACACTCTGGCTCCCAAATACTATTTTATCAGAATCTCAGCCAAAGAAAACAGTGATCTGTTCTGATGCCAGAGGAAACTTTGGCTATGCTAAGTGTACCAAGAGATGGTATGTTGACCTCTACGCATCACGGTGTCTTCCTAGCTCATTCTTCGATGATCATTTTTACAGCATTCAATTTTTGCCTTCATGAGCTGACTTTATATGACATGACTCCACTGCTTTAATCTACAGAATAAATAGGAAGGAGAAAGGAGAGAGAGTGGGCTGTGAGAGCTGAGGGGCACACATGATGATCCCTATGGCGACAGGATTCTCAAAAGAACAGCTTGAGCTACAACTGATTTCTTTATTAAGGAGAGATACTCTCTCCATCTCAAATGGCCCGCCCAGAAGTCCTCACCTCATCCATGTGTCCTCTGCCACAGATTCTGATTTAATTCTGAGGGAGGATCTAGGCAATAGCATTTTTTTTTTTTTTTTTTTACGTTCTCCAGAGGTTCCAACTTGCAGGCTTGCAAACAGCTAAGCCACAAGAACCATGACCACTGAGAGTCAAGCCCACAAATAAGCATAGCTCCTGACCAGGTCTGCAACACAAAGGCATGTTTTGTGTTTTATATATATATGTATATATATATATATATTTTTTTTTTTTTTTGCGGTACGCGGGCCTCTCACTGTTGTGTGTGGGATGTGGGATCTTCCCGGACTGGGGCACGAACCCGTGTCCCCTGCATTGGCCGGCGGACTCTCAACCACTGCGCCACCAGGGAAGCCCTGTGTTGTATTTTTATATATAAATATATATTTATATTTTAATCTGCTGGAGAGGCTTATCTACGACAAAATGAATTTCCATCGTAATTATTTTTATTGTTATTAACAGAACGGGCTGAGCTCCCTGAATAGGCTGACTTTATTTAGAGGCAACCTGGAAAGTTAACACTGGGCTGTCATATGTTCTGTAATGAACACAGGGCAAACCCAAGTAGGAATCCAAAATTTGGAGTCTCCCCTTTCACCTTCCTCAGCAGACTCCATGGGCTAAAGCTGAAACTTCTATTAAAACTGAGTCTAAAGACTCAAGAAGTAAAAGTGGCTTCTTTCAAAAAGCTTATTTTATTTGGCCCTAGAGAACATCCATTTGAGCCCTGGTCAAACTGTGCACATTACACCTAGAGATTACATTGCCAGGAACATACCTGGGACCCAGAGGGCTTCTTTTTTCTAGGCAGCACCACTATTAAGCTCTCTTCATGGGTACACTGGGGAGGGAGGAGGAAGGAGTACATAGGAGGAAGCCATTCCTGAACAGAATCTTCTCTCCTGTGCTTCCCTGTTGTCATTTTAGCTGTGATCCAAGCCAGCTGCTCCACACTTAGTAAGCAGTAACTCTAATGGTATAGAAAAATAAAAGCCTCAAACTCCCAAAAAGATTAAGAGCAGCAAATTGCACTGACAAGACCAATTTAACAAATGTCCTATTATCTTTGCAGAAGTTTGCAAAGCAAATCCCACACAGCACAGTGTAGGATGGGAAGCTTGCTTATCCAGCCTAGCAGGAGAGAATAGAAAACTGGAAACAGTTTTCCTTGGTCCATTCTCTAAAAATTACTGTCAGCATGGCCCACAGTGTAGGTAGTAGGTAAATCCTTGATTTAGAATTCAGACCAATTGCTTCCCAGAAGCAGCAGCCAGTAACTAGCTCACATTAACTCTCTCCATCTCCCTGGATCTCAATTTCCTTATCTGTGAAAGGAGTGGACTGCATAAGAATGGCCTCCAGTTCCCTCCCTCCCATAAACTTTCCATGGATTTTTAAAGAAACACACACAAAAAATCGCAACTACCCCTAATCACACAGGCCATCCAGAGCCCTAGTTTTAAACCCCACTGAAATACGCTATAGTACATCAACAGGTGCCCAGGCTATGCAGTTGGGGTTGCAGGCGTAATCCATTCTCATCAAAGTAGGAAAGACATGTAATACTGGATAGGATGGGGGAAGGGTATTCTGGAACATTGCTAGGATAACTATTTTTGAAAGACAACAACAACTATTAAACATCTAGCAACATCTATTAAAATTAAAAGTACACATACATTTTAAATGCAGTTAATCCCTCTCTTGGACCATATTAGAAAAAGGACCAGTATTCGAGGACGGGTATAAGGAAGTTCACTGCACCCCTTACAGTGGCCAAATTTAAGAAAAACAAAAAAGCAAGATCAAAACAAATTGGAAACAATGTGCATACCCTTTAACAGAGAAACTTCAATAAACCATGACCTCCAAACCATGGAATATTAGGCAGACATTAAAAAGAATGAATGAGATCTATACTAACTGCCTAGAGGGATACACCCCCAATCTTCTGTTAATGAGAAAAGCAAGAGATACCCAGAAGTGTAAATAATTTATTAACCCCATCTGGTTTGAAAAAAAAAAGTAGGGGAGGGAGGGAGGAAAGAAAGGAGGAAGGGAGGGATGAAGGGCAGCAGGCAGGCAGGTGGAAAGAAGACCCTTAAGTGTTTATGATTTTATGAGCCCACAGGAAGGTACAGAGGGCCACCCCTTCAGGTTGTTAATATTGTCAGAGGGTGGCAGGATAAGCAGGTTTTATAGGTAGAGGTTAGAAATCAGGGGAGAGGATGAGAAAATTCTATACTTAGAACTTGCAGTATATAAAGAAGTAAAAAAATAAGAATTCAGTGATAATGGAAAATAGGAGACACCTTAGCACAGAATGGACAGAATAAGTTGTGTGTAACCCAGAAAAGCCCCTACATGGCCTTTATTTGGTTGGATATTGTTAAGTACAGGAAACTGAAAAGAGGTCTCACTTTTTAAAATGCATCAGGGGACAGCTAAGCATTTTATAAGTTATTTACAATTCCAGTTTCTTCTTCCTGCTTCACCTCCTGCAGTTTTGAGCCATTTCAAAGCTTTTGTTAGCAACTCAGCAAAACGGGGGGCGGGGGGAAGTGTAGAGTTTTGGAAATTCAGTTAAATGTCATATCAGCAGTTTGGGTTAAGGTAAAAGGGAGCAAGGATTGGAAAACTATAGTTTGAATGGCAATAGAAATTGCTTTCACTTACCTATATTCATTTCTTACCTTCATGAAAAATTAAATGCTCTTCTATTCACACTTTAATGTTTTTATAGGACACTATCATATTTTAAATGTTCAGTTTTATTTATCTTCCTGATATCAAGGTCTACCTAAACTACACTTCCCGTGTACGAGCCGTGGATGGAGACAGAAGAGAAGGGGAAAGAAGAAATCCCAGTGCAGCTATAATCCATGACTCACGTTTTCTTTAATCCAGGGTATGCAGATGCTTTGATAAATTCAGCTGAACCACTAAGGGCCTGTTCCGTGTTTGCCAGAAGTGATGCTCGTTCTAGATACAGAATGTCTGCATTCACCCTTTACTCCTCCCTTTTAAACCCAGATGCCTTTTTTAGTTCAGAAGTCTCTAGATCAAGAGGGCCCACATCCAGAGTTGATGTCAAAATGACTCCCTAATTTAGTGCCAAGTGTACATCATCCAGATGCTGTGACTGGGTGGGACTGCGGGGTTCTCTCCTTTGGGGAGGGGATGAGTGTTTCACCTGCAGCAGGGGCAGCGAGCCAAATACCTGGTAATCAGAAGAGCAAACTGTGGTTGTCACTAGGGCTGCTGCTTCCCTTCCTTCCTGGCCCATGGGGTCAGACTGCAGTTCCTGGCCATTTATGAATGGAGCTGGGCAATATGCTTCATCTGGACAGTGAGTTAGGAATGGAAATGTTGTGTGTCACTTTCAGGCAAGAGCACTTACGGCTAGTGTCACACCTTGGAGAACTCTTTCTCTGTTACCGTGACCACTAAAATTAAAGATAATGATTGCTCCATCAGCCAGGATGCAGAGTCAAGACAAGCTATATTGGAACCCCAGCTGCCCATCAATGAACTTACAGTGTGAAGGAGAAATAAACTTTTGTCGTTTTAAGGTACTGAGATTTGGAGGTTGTTACCGCAGGATGATCTTGCCTGTCCTGACTAGTAAGTATACTTTTCATCAAAATCTTTGGCTGTTTTTTTCCCTGGAGGCTTCCTTCTCCTGCAGAACCAGATCCAGGGACTGCCAGTATCGCTGATAAACATGTGGTAGCTGAGAGTTAATAAAAGGGTACGTAGGCTCTGTTGCATTTATTTGTGTAAAAATTTCTGGAAACACAACCCTGAATCGACAATCTGATAGTAGTTAAAACCCTAAAATAAATCTGTATTCTACATAGTGTGGTGAAAATATTTAAAAATTTTATTGGTAGTCAATGGCTTTAAGATAAAGCCTGTTTCTTAAAGACCTTTTCAGAACACTAGAATAGTCTCTGAGGGGCACTTAAACATATATAACATCTTTACCGGAGTATAATTGCTTCACAATGAGGGACACTTATGCTTCTTGCAGTAAATTTCAAGGGTTACACAGTGAATTCCAAATAGCATAAATGAGTAAAGACTGAGAAAAAACCAAAACCAAAATCAAAAACAAAACAACCACACACAAACAGAGAGAAAGGTTTTCCTACCAGTCAAGGAAACAATCTTAAAGAGCTAAGGGGGCCTGACGTGAGAAAATCTACCTCCTCTCAAACAACCAGC